TTTCCTGCCAGACAAAGAAGTGGTTTCACACTCAGCCTTTTCCAGACCACCAAAAGACAATAAGACACTAAAGCAACCCACCCCATATGCAACTCCTGCCAACTCCAAATCTCCTAAAACAATAAGCTGAACAAGGCCAGGAGATGGGGTTTATGTGAGGTCCACCACCTCTGCCTGAGAATGAATCATAAAACCACTAGCACTCCATTCCCCAGCCTCACACTGCCTAGCCCCGACCTACTCGATATAATGAAAATGAAATCAGGAACACACTGAACCTAAAACCTCAAGTACATTTTAAATCTTGTTTTAGATCCATCTATATTAACAGAGGTCAGGTAACTTGTTTATTCAAACTAACTTATTCTTACTGGTATAATGACAAAAGTGGTCAGACACATTTTTCTACTTAAAAAAAAAAAAAAAAACCTGACAAAGAAGTACATTCTAAAACTCAGTAAAGAATATAGGAAATAGCTCACAATAAACTTTGCCTTATAAAATAACTAATGAAGGAAATAACCCACTTATTTTGCAATGGGAAACAACGATTTGTATATTATTACATACTTGGTAGGTCATTAATTAGAAGCTCTTTTTATTTTCTAGCATAGCATTTTTCAAAAATGTCTTACAAAGAACACCAGTGCAACAAGAGAAAAGCAAGTCATGTAAGTTTGAGAAGCTCTGCCTTCTCTGGTCCCCTTCTTAGAAATGACTAATGCATATTTGCATGTTAAAGATTGAGACTGTAACTCTGTGGAATCCCTTGTTTCCCCAAGTTCACTTGGCACTGCAACCCTTTTTCTCTCATAACACATATCAACAGCCCACAAATGGCTGTTCTGCCAAGCGCAATTTGGGAAAAATTTCTTCTAGAAATGGGATATGGACCAGGCGTGGTGGCTCACACCTGTAATCCCAGCACTTTAGGAGGCTGAGGCAGGCGGATCGCTTGAGCTCAGGAGACTGGCCTGGGCAACGTGGTGAAAACCCTTCTCTACCAAAAATACAAAAAAAAAAAAAAAAAAAAGTAGCCAGGCATGGTGGCACATGCCTGTAGTCCCAGCTATTCAGGAGGCTGAGGTGGGAGGATCACTTGAACCTGGGAGGTAGAGGTTGCAGTAAGCCAAGACTGCACCACTGTACTCCAACCTGGGTGACAGACTGAGACCCCATCTCAAAAAAAAAAAAAAACAAAAAAAAACAAAAAAAGAAAGAAAAAGAAAAAAGAAAAGAGACATCGTAAAATGGTTTAAGAGCTGAGACTCCAGAGTCAGCCTGATTCAAATACCAGCTTCACCATTTGTTAGCAGTATGACATTGGGTTTGTCCCTCAGTTCCCCCAGGTAAGATGGGCAAAGTAATAGCACCTACCTCCTAGGCCATGGGCCTTTCCATCCGAGTGGAACAGTCTTCTAAGATCCTCACATGGATGGTTCCTTTTGGTTATTCAAGTCTCAGTTCATACTGTCACCCCCTCCAAGAGGCCTTCCCTGACAACCCAATATAAAATTAGCCTCACCAGATCACCAGTGCTTCACTCTCTTCTTCATGACATGCCTCTATTTAACCACAAAATTGTCATCTATTTTCCCCCAATAGAATGTAAGCACCATGAAGGTACATTTTAATAATGATCATTGCTATATCCCAAAACAGATCTTCAATAAGTATTCATCCAACGAAGGAATGAATGGAAGGATTAATGAATGAATGAATGGATGGATGAATGCATAAATGAATGAATGAATGAGATGACTCAGTGTGAATCCATGTAAAGCATTCTTTGTGATGCCTGACACACAAGCTGACACACACAGATGCTATTTTGAAAACTTCTGGGGAACCGTGAGTGGTTAATACACACATAATCATAATTCTCCCAATAAGTAACATTCTGACTCCACAGTGTATCTTCTTGCTGTAGTAGAGGTAAACATTTCACAACATTCATTCAGAGGTGTGCTAGTAAACAGGCTTTCAGGAATGGGCAAGGGAATGGGGAAGGTAGACCCTAAGAGTAGCATCTTCCAATTTCCATGGTGTAAATACACCAAATATGACCAATTTCAGGCTATGTGTGGTTTAACATCAGGATCATGAGATTCTTGAGAATTTAACAAATTGCTCTCACAGGACTGTAGAACCTTTCTCATGGGAATGGTCCTTTCAGGCCTTGGAGTCTTGTTTGTTGAGTTCAAGTTTAACATGAGTTTTTTTATGTACAGATATATTTTCCAAATTCTCCCCCTCTTGCTGAGCTAAAATAAGGGATACCTACTCGTTTTGGTCTGATGCTCAGGGAAACTAGTTGAATGTACTGCGCTGCACTTTCTGTACCCTCTTCTGTGTGCTTTCAAACTGGTGTTTAAGGATCTAAATATGATCTATATCCACACCAGACCATTGTGAGAACCAGCCAATCTCAGAAAACTCAAGATGAATTGTGTTTAGATTCATTTAAATGGAGGCAGCTACATAAGGCACCATCTAGTAAGCACTATCAATGAGCAGAATCTAATTGCAGAAGAAGAATGACCACCCTGACCACAAGATCCCAAGAAGGAGTGAGAAATGGTGCTGCAGATGGAGATTTCTCTGGCATCACAGCCTTGCTGCCCCTTGGCATCAAAATAAAACAGTAGCTTTTTCCAACTCTAGTCATCCTCTATCAACTGCAGTTTTGAGATAATACAAGAAAAATTCCAAAATCCACAGTTAATCTACATGCAAGTAACAACATGCCAGTAATTGTTGCTCCTCTTCTGTAAACTACATGAGAGGTCTATGAAGTAAGACATGGAGAAAATTACTTTCTGCTGTACTGTATTTGTTATCTATGGCTGTGTAACAAATTACCTCAAAATTGAGCAGCTTAAAACAGAACACATTTATTATCTCACAGTTTCTGTGGGTCAGGAATTCAGGCACAGATTAAGTGGGTCCTCTGCTTCACAGTCTCTCACAGCCTGCAATCAAGATGTCAGCCCAGGACCTGTCATCTTATCTGAAGGCTTGACTGGGAAAGGATCCACTTCCAAGCTCACTAAATGGTTGTTACCAGGTTTCCATTCTTTGTGGCTGTTGAAATGAGTGCCTCTGTTCCTTACTGGGTGTTGGCTGGAGGCTACCCTCAGTTCCTTACCACATGGGCCTCTCCACATGGCAGCTTGCTTCATCAAAGCATGCAAGTATGAAGGCAATAGAGTCTGCTACCAAGATGGAAGTAACAGTCTTATGTAATCTAATCATGGAAGTAACATTGACATTCTATTACTTTTGCCATATTCTATCATTTCAGAGCAAGCTATAAGGATCAACCAATACTCAAAGAAAGAGGATTATATAATAGTGTGAATTCCAAGCAGCAGGGATTATTGGAGACCATCTTGGAAGTCTTCTCACCACATTCACCCTCTTGGAAGATAGATGGGAAGATACTGTGGTTGTTCCCACCCACATGGGAACACCCATCCCAAAATGGGTTGCTCCCATTTTGGCCTAACCAAAACATCTCTTTTTTTTTTTTTTTTTTTTTTTTTTTTGAGACGGAGTCTCGCTCTGTCGCCCAGGCTGGAGTGCAGTGGCGCGATCTCAGCTCACTGCAAGCTCCGCCTCCCGGGTTCATGCCATTCTCCTGCCTCAGCCTCCTGAGTAGCTGGGACTACAGGCGCCCACCACCGTGCCCGGCTAATTTTTTGTTGTTGTTGTTGTATTTTTTTTAGTAGAGACGAGGTTTCACCGTGGTCTCGATCTCCTGACCTTGTGATCCACCCGCCTCGGCCTCCCAAAGTGCTGGGATTACAGGCGTGAGCCACCGCGCCCGGCCCAAAACATCTCTTTAAGATTTTCAATATGAAACCAAGCCATGTGGTTTCCCAAGCATGTTGGTAAAGTATCATTAAAACAAAACAAGGAAGAATAAGAGTAGAGGACATTAAATTTGCAGACACAAAAGTCTTTTCCTAAGTTCTAGGCAAACATAACCTACATCAGAGCAAATTCCTGGGAGCATCTGCATTTTTGCAAATCCCAACATGGAAGCCATGTCTTCTGACCAACCAAACAAGTGACTTACAAGAAGCACCACCATCTGAACAGGTATAATGTCAAGAAATCTAGTTTGGTCTAGAAGCAAGTATCTTCTAGAATTTTTATTTATTGCTGTAGAATAGTTTGAAAACATTTTTAATGACATTTTATTGCTTGTTATTTTCTGTGAGATCCTTATCTCCCTACAGCAGTTTTGCCTGCATGATACTTTTAAGGTCCATATCCACCAGAGTGGCAAGGAACTGCTATAAAAATTTCAAACCTTGGCAGTCATCCACATTTTTTCTAAGCTCTACCTAACCACATATTCTCAGATACATGAGCATCCCAACATTGAATGGTGGTAAAAGGCCAGAGAGACTGCCTCTGAAGGACTTCCAATGATTTAACCCACTAAGGGCAAAACACATACTCAGAAAACCTGTAATACTCTGTCCTAGATGAATGTAAATGCAGACAAAAATTATCTTAATCCTAAACACTCAAAATTAATCTGTGAATTTTACCATTCTTTCCTAAATGCTTTACTTTCTGCAAATCTCATCCCCAATTCAGTAATAAAAATATTTAGGGTCATTGTGTTGCTAATCATATTTATTATTTCCTTTAGAGAGGTGATATTTGATAAACAACTAAACTAAATAGTACCATATCTAAAAGACTCTGAAACCGCCACCTGTGGGAAAGCAATTGTAAATCACTTTAGAGTTGATATGTCCTGCATATGTTTGAATCGTGGATATGTGTTGAATAATAATGGAATGCATGTGCAGTGAGCAAAGACTAATACAAAATTCCAGTTTAATGGTCTTAAGCTGGCAGGAAGGTCATAAAGCAGATGACAAAGGGAATTTTGTAGATATCTTCCAACCTGTGAAAATAACTTGATAACATATTTTCACTTACAAATTAAGGCTGTGGGGAAATACAGAGAATGCTCTTACCTCTCTAAGATGTATGTTTTCCTTCTCTTTCTGGTCTAAAATCACTTCCAAGTGGCTGACCTGAGACTCAGCCTCTGCCATCCGTCGCGTTCGCTCATTGTCATCCTCTAGGCTTTTGGACGGCAAGCCTTTACTTTGTAACATCTCAAGAAGTTTTTTAATCGACTCATCTCGGGCATTGAGGGTTTGTTTCTGCGTTTCAATTCTCAGCTCCATTTCCTCTAATGTCTTCCTCAAAAGGAACAGCTCCTTGGCCTGCCTGTCATGCTCGGCCTGGAGCCGCCTGAAGTTCTCCTCGGTCAGCTCGATGGTGAAGTGCTCCGCTCCTCGGTTGCCACTCTCTTGCTGGAGGAGGTGGTTGAGGTCTCTCTGGGTTCGCAGCTCATCTTGAAGGGCTTGGATTGTCAACTGTAGGTGCTGCAGTGAGAAAGATGGAGCAGGAGAGGAGACAGAAGGAAAAAAAGTCAATGAAAATGGCAAGTGCTGTTTGCTGCCACCACACTATGAAGATGGAATGTTAATCATGAGGTCCGGAGGGCCAGCCATGAATTCCTCCACGGTGACTTCAGAAGCATGGGACAGCACATGGAGAGGGGGAGATTAATTCAAGGATGCTTTCTGAATGTCTTGGGAGAAGAGAAATGCACACATACACAGAAACAATAGATTAGTGTCAATCACAAGGGAAATTATACATCTACAGAGTTTTAATTTAGGAAGTGGAAAAGGTTAGAGGGAAACTTTCACAAACACACCTTCTTTATGCCCAGAACGCTCCAGACTCAGTATTCCTTGTTTCCTAAGGTATTCTTTATTGTACTATCCATTATTTCCCACGATCAATATGTGTTGATTTAAAAATGAAAATAATAGCATCCACTACAAGTAGACACAAACGAAGACTTTATTTTTTACAAATAAAGCTGTGAACAGGTTTAGTAAACAGGATTACTGCATCTGAAAGCAAAAGGGAATAAATGCAGGCACAGACAAACACACTCAAACACACAAGGAGGTGAGGCTGTACAAAGCAGAACAAACAAGCTGCAAAGAGTGGACAAACCTTGGTTCTTCTGGCATCCAGTAACTGAACAGCATGGGAAATGAAAAAAAAAACGAAGCAAAAAATCAACACAAAGAAAAGTCTAGTGCAAGCAAAGGATATTTTACAGAAAGAACTTAATCAACATAAAGTACCTTCACAGAAGAAAGAAGAAAAAAAAAGAAAAAAATTCTAATTACAGCAAAGACCTATAAGCTACACAGAGTTTATAGCATTGACATTTGATAGACATGGAAAAAAAAAAAAGGAAAGACCAAACCTGAGGTTTATCCCACCTTTTGTTTTCCTAAATCTCACTGACCCAGGAACTGAAAGTCTTGAAAGTATTACCAGAGAGGGAAGCACCTGTTATTTTGGGTCACCATTTTAAGCAAAGTCAGGGTGAAAGCACCAGAGAAACAAAATAGTTATCAGATGTGAGAAAAGATACCCATGCTTGAAGATAGTTGGTGAATTCAGCAATACCTTTCCCCATAGGACAAACACCCAGGCTGGTCAGAGAAGGTAGCCACAAGCCTGAAGGCATTTCTATCCTTATGGACAAGCCAAGATGCTTCCAAGACAGCAGCTATTCATTTGCCAAACACATGATCCTGCTTGTGAAACGAATACAATTCTAAGCACAGGAATCAAGAGGGATGTAAGACATAGCTCCCGCCCACAGGGAACCACAGTATTGTAAGGCATGGGTAATACTATATCTAACTTATATGAATATTGGAGCAGTCAACATTTTGAAATCTGTCTGAATTCCTACAGCTGACACTCAGTGGTACTGAGATCTTTCTGAGTGTGGCCTACACCCAGAAACTAGCACTGGATGATGCAGCATCTTGATTATATTGTTTCTGGGTATCCAATTCATATCCCCATTTATGAATGTCCATTGAGAAATTGTTAGAGCCTTCTCATCTGTATACCACCGTGCCTCACAGGGTACTGAATGCAGTGAAAGAAACTGACATGTATTTAATGGTGGAGATTATTCATTTTTAATACAATGCTCCCCTATAAAGTGTAACATACAAAGTTGTGCAACCATCAACACAATACATTTTTTAACATTACCTCAGAAAGATACCTCATGCCCTTTAGAAGTCATTCCCCATCTCCTTCCCTTTCCCCAGGCCCTGGTAATCACTGATTTACTTTCTGTCTTTATGCCTGTTATGGACCTTTCATACCAATGGTATCATGCAATCGGTGGTTTCTTTCACTTAGCAGGTTTCCAAGGTTTATCCATGTGGTAGTGTGTATCTGTACTTCATTCCTTTTTATGCCTGAATAATATTCCATTGAATGAATATACCACATTTTATGTATCCATTCGTCAGTTGACTCAGACACAAATATTCATAGCAGCAACATTCATATTAGTCAAAAAGTGTTAACAACCCATTTGTCAATCAACTGGTGAATGGATGAAATCTAGTATATCAATTTAATGGAATATTATTCAGTCCTAAAAAGGAATGAAGTGCTGACATACAGGATGACATGGATAAATCTGAAAACATTATGCCATGTGAAAGAAACCAGTCAGGAAACAATATGTGCTGGAGAGGATGTGGAGAAATAGGAACACTTTTATACTGTTGGTGGGACTATAAACTAGTTTGACCATTGTGGAAGGCAGTGTGGCGATTCCTCAAGGATCTAGAACTAGAAATACCATTTGACCCAGCCATCCCATTACCGGGCATATACCCAAAGGATTATAAATCACGCTGCTATGAAGACACATGCACACGTATGTTTATTGCGGCACTATTCACAATAGCAAAGACTTGGAATCGACCCAAATGTCCATCAATGATAGACTGGATTAAGAAAATGTGGCACATATACACCATCCCAGGACAATGAAGGAGGTCATAATGACTTCTGTTTCTAGGCTTCCAGGGGACTTCATTTTCTGATAGGCCCTCCTCTACACTACAGCTAGATAAAAGCAAATATACTTTTCAAAGCATAGTTGAGCTTACAAGGAAGTAAGGGAAATCTCCAAGGGAGGAGCTGGGGGAGAGACCACTCTCTGTTCTCTCTTCCTCTTCTTATAAGGAGCAAATGCCAATCCAAGCACTGAGCTTGAGAGAGCAAACTGCGGCTCACTGAAGTGAGGGAACTGAGAGTCTCCCAACAAGCCCATATTTGCAGAAGAGGCTAATGTGGTCCTAAGTGCCCCCTGGCGCCTAACAGATGCAACTGCAAATTCTTGTAAGGGGAACAGGCAGTGGGTGGGCAAGGACTGGGAAAGGCGATGCGGCAGAGAACAAAAGCCCTCAGGAGTCCAAAAAATTCAGATTAATGAAATACAAGCTTACAATAAAAAATTACCACAGACACAAGGAAACTTCCATGAGTGATGGCCATATGCAGAATACAAGGTGTATTTGAAATGTTTAAGAAAATAAATAAAAATTTTAGAAGAAATATAAAATTGAAGAATCAGCATGGAAAAGTGACTTTCCAAAATTATCAACCAGATATGAAAAAGAATAAAAATATACAGCAATGAAAAATATAGCATTTAAAGTGAAACCTAACAGATGGGGTAAGAAAAAAGAGAAAACTAGTGAACAAAGACACAATAGAGACAAGCCACAAAGCAAAATGTTGGTTCTTTGAAATGACTAATAAAACAAACCTCTTCAGAAATGAGTACATATAGGAAATATTTAAAAGATGGTATGAAAACACTGTTAACTTTGGGCCAACAAATTTTGAAATATCAAGAAAATGAACAAACGACTAGTCATATCTTACATAATCTGACTCTAGAAGAAACAGAAATCCTGAAGAGTTCTGCAGCTATTAAATAAATAGAATCAGAATGTTAAAACTCTTCCCGCAAAGAAAGCCCAGGTGACTCCAATTTGCAAAAACTTTCAGATAAATGGAAAGAAGAAACTCTCCCCCAATTCATTCTGTGAGACTTGATCATCTTGACACCAAAGCTAGGCATGAACTATACAAGAAAGGTAACTTCTAGTCCAAACTTCACACTTAGACAATGAGTATTATTAGCAAGTGGAATACAGGGGTATATTAAAAAGGTAATACATCATGACCAAGATGTGTTTCTTATAGGAATTAGAGAATACTTCAGCATTAGACAAAGTATTCTGTAAATAACGTTAACGGAGTAAAGATGAAAAATAATTATGATCAGCTCAAGATATAAAGTCTAAGTGTTTTCTATAAATTGTTACAAACTAGGAATAAAGAGGAATTTCTTTAATTTAATAAAGTATATCTGCTGTAAACTGACAGTATCATTCTTAATGGTAGATGTTAGAAGCATGCCCCTTAAAATGAGGCATAAAATTACACCATCATCAGCACCACTTGTAGAATGTTGCAACAGCCTTCTCCTAGAGGCCTAAGTTAGAACAGTAAGACCAGAAAATAAAGAGAAAAAATAATAATTGAAAAGAAGAAAAGTTCTATTATCATCAATTGTATTATGTGGTTTTCTACTTAGAAACCCCAAAAGAATCTATAAATTATTAAAAATAATAAAGTTATTTCCTTATCAGCAGGGCACAAAAAATGTAGCCATAAAAATAAGAGTAGTAAATTTGACAATGTTAAAATTAGGAATTTCTGTTCAACAAAAGACACTATAAACAGAATGAAAAAACAATCTACAGTTGAGAGATGATGTTTGCAATACATTAAAATGACAAAAAAAATTTATCAAGAATATACATAGAATTCCTGTAATTCAATAAAAAAAAGATACCAACAGTTAATTGAAAAATACACAAAAGAAATGAGCGGGCATTTCACAGAAAAGGAAATACAATCAGACAATAAACATATGAAAATATGTTCAATCTTATTAGTAATCAGAAAACCACATGAGCCATATGGAAGCCACAACGAGAAAGCATTTGATACCCCACTCTCTTAGCCACACACACATACACTCACATACACTATAATAATCATAATAGCAGCAGCAAAAATAAATAACAATAGCAAGTACTGACAAGGATATAGATCAATAAGAACTCCTAACACAGCTGCTGCAAGTAAACTAGTGCAACCATGCAAGAACTAACCATGCATATCCTCACCTAGAAATTTTACCCTTAGGTACATATCTGAAGCAGGGGATGGCAAACTATGGCCCAGGGGCCGAATCTGGCCTTTTGCCTGCTTTTGTAAATAAAGTTTTATTGGAACACAGCTATATTCATTTATATATTGTCTTTTCTTTTTTTTTTTTTTTTTTTTTTTGGAGACAAAGTCTCACTCTGTGGCACAGGCTGGAGTGCAGTGGTGCAATCTCGGCTCACTGCAACCTCTACCTCCCAGGTTCAAAGGTTCAAGCGAGTCTCATGCCTCAGCCTCCCAAGTAGCTGAGACTACAGGCATGCACCACCATGCCTGGTTAACTTTTGTGTTTTTAGTAGAGATGGGGTTTCTCCGTGTTGCCCAGGCTGTTCTCGAACTCCTGACCTCAAGTGATCCTCCCGCCTCGGCCTCCCAAAGTGATGGAATTACAGGCATGAGCCATGGCTCCTGGCCTTATATATTATCTATTGCTACTTTTGTAGTACAATTGCAGAGTCAAGTAGCAGATACTGTATGACCCATGAAATCTAAAATATTCACTATCTGGCACTTTACAGAAAAAGTTTGCAGGCCCCTGTCCTAAAGAAATACTTGCCCATGAGCACAACAGACACACACAAGAACATTCAGTGTAGCACTATTCCTAACAGCAAAAAACTAGAAATAATCCACCAACAGGAAAACAGATAAATTATGACATATGTGTGTGATGGGATGTTAGATTATTGTGCAAAAGAACAAATGACAGCTACATGCAACAGGGATTTATCTTAAAAGAATATTGAATGGAAGAAGTAAAAATAGAGAATATATACAACACCATCCCACTGAGATAAGGTTCAAGGGCATGATTTTCATAACACAGAAGAAGAAACAGAAACTGAGAAGCACTCATGTGTAACATCAACAGGATTGGTAATTTTCTCAGGTGGGGCAGGGAG